TTTTTTGGTTCTAATCACATTTCAATTAAACTTGGAGACATAGATTTTCTGTTACATTGCGCAGACCTCATTAGTTTTACACTCAAATCTGGTCATATTAATTTTCTGATTTGCATAATTAGTTTTCAGCTAAGTAATTTCGAATTATATTTAATGTGTCTCCAATACTCTCAGCACATGGGAGTTCTTTCTAAGCTTTCTTTGATTTGATGATTGCTTTTAGTAATTTAGGGGGGGGGGGTAATTTGCAATTACTTGTTCGACAAATAACAGTTATGTAGGATACTAACATTAAAAAATAGTGTGTGCATGACAATTTAATACCACACCTCATTGAGCAAGCTACCTTGTGTTTCTCCTTTCTCAGATCTTGAAAACAAAAATGGTTTTACTTTATTTATAACAGATGTGTTAGTGCTCATTCATTACTATTTTCACACACACAAAAAAATGTTGCGCCAATGCAAGTTGTGCATGCTTGCATTCACACAAGCATGCACACTGGGGGCTTTTGTGTACATTTTCATTTATTTATATCTTTGGAGCAATTGAGCGTTAACAACTCTGCCATCTTAGAATATAATAATATATGTGTATATAAATGTGTTTGAATCCACTGCAGATCTACTCAAAATTAACTTGTACAGGTCTATATAATAGATCGTTTCGTTTAAACCCTGTTCATGTCTGTTTTTATACAGCAAATGTTGCATCATGACTTTATCAAGCGGAGCTTATCATATGAGTGATTGTCTTTTTACTTTTTCCACTTCATCTTGAAAACTACAAGTCTGAATGCTTTGATACTTGGTGTTTAGATTTGTTCATTTCATGATGATATCTTCAATTCTCCAATTTTGATGAATATGTAATTTTTGGTAAAAAGTGGTATTTTTGACTTTTTGTTAAAAACCGATTAAGTCCGATTGCTTTGATACTATACATATTGTTCATTTTCTAATGATATCTTCAGTTCTTTAATTGAAATGTGCATTGCTAACAGCAGAGCTATCTCGGCCGACAGGCTGCTCGTTTCTCTTGTGCTGACAAGCTCCGCCGGTATGAGGAGACACGAAAAACAGATGTGAACATGCTCTAATAATGTTTTATTTTCCTTCTAGAAATATGAGCAAGGTTTCATCATGGATGCTCTGGTAATGAGTGCCAACACCACAATTAAAGAAGTTTTTGCCGCTAAAAGTCAGCATGGATTCTCGGGTATACCTATTACAGATAATGGGAAACTAGGAGGGAGGCTATTAGGAATTGTCACTGCCAGAGATATTGACTTTGTAGAACCTGAATTTAATGACAAACCACTAGAACAATTCATGACTAAAAGAGAGGATCTTGTTGTAGCACCTGCCAATGTGACTTTGAAAGAGGCTAACGATATATTGCAGAAAAGTAAAAAAGGTACAGCTATATTTTATTTTTTATTTTGATTTATTAGTTTATTTAGTGATGGGTGTGAAAAATATCTTCAAAATTAATGGAATGATATGCCTTTGTAGTTTTCAGATTTTTTGAAAATTCAAAATTGTGTATAGCGACCACTCAAGGACTCTATAGATACCAGTAGGTGGTCTTTATAATATGGAGGTTGGAATTTATTTTATGGTTCACCAACTCGTATATTTGATGTATTTGCCCAGAAAATAATGAGATGGTAGTGTTGCCTTTTTAATTGTTTGAGATCAAATCAATTAAGTCTGATTTGAAGAAATAAAAAAGTTATTTTATAAATAGAATTCTAATTATTTTTGTCTTTAAACAAAAGCAAATCTGTAAACATACTGCTGAAAGGGTGGTCACATAAGACAGGTGGTCTTTATACACAGGTTGCTCATACATTATGCCTTAGGACTGCTTAAGGTCATTTGCATATTGATGAACCATCAATTTTGATCACTTTATTTTGTACAAGTAGAGAATGCTGGAAATTGAAGAAGATCCAAGTTCATTGGTATTATCCAAATCTAGTATCAGTCACTTGTGTGCTAAATTTTCTCTGACATCTAGAGATATATTTTCTCTTGCAGGTAAACTTCCTATCGTTAACGAAAATGATGAATTGGTGTCACTAATATCAAGAACAGATTTGAAGAAACACAGGGAATTTCCGCTTGCTTCAAAAGACTCCAAAAAACAATTATTGTGTGGTGCCGCAATCGGTACTCACGAATCTGACAAAAATAGACTAGATTTGCTGGTACAGGCTGGAGTCGATGTTATTATACTGGTGAGTCTAGTGTAATGCACCTGTTTACTTTGTTCTCTTTATTAAAATGCGATAACATTATGTTAATTTTTTGATTTGCTAAACAGTTAAAGCAGGAGAGTTGTCACCTGCGCTTGTGTCAGATGGCCATAGCATGTCATTGTTTACAAAGAAAGTGTCTACCCTAAGCCTTTGCATTTTTAGCGCATATTATCGTCGCTTGAGACTTGATTCCCATGCGTTCGCAGGTGACGACCCTCCCGCTTTAACTGTTTAATGCTTGTTCAGACCAAAGTTCATTAATTGTGGAATTACTTCAGAGATGAATTGACTGAATATCAAATACAGTCTGCACCAAAGTCTATACAAGCTATCAGACTACATTGTAAATCATTGTGCTACGATTCAATTGAATAATCATGACTAGGAGCAATTTTTTAGTCTCAGCTTCGGATGAATTAATTTGGGGTACCGGTACGTTCATCTGGAACCAATTTCTTGAACGTGCTTTGACAGATCATTCAAACTTAACACAGAAATAGCTGACTGGCGGCCATTCTATTTTTATTCATGTCTATGCCAATTTCTCACTAATATGTTGCCTTATTGAGTTCAAAAGTTTACATACAAGTACTATACTAATTCCTTTGGTTGTGTTGTGTCATTTTGTCATTTGAGCAGATTTGTTGTAATGATAACCATTTTGTTGAAATTGTAGTTTGTAAACATGTTCAGAACCATTTCTGAGAAATGAACAAGGTGATATCATGCTTGAAATTATCAACAATTCATGCAATCACTATGCTATCAATTATATACATAGTTTCCGGCCCTTTCTTACAAACGGGAATATTTATTTCCACTTCCATGTAGCTTTCCAGCAGACTTATATAGAGAATATGCCTCCTCAAAGCACCCCCCGCCCCCTACCAAGACTACCCTAAGGTTTCATTACAATGTGAATTCAAGGCAACTCTAATGAGCAGTCCAAGGGGGCTGTTCACGTTGACAGGAAGTGAATTCTGTTACGAAAATGCACAGGGGCTTCACTAAATGAGGTCATTTATCTGTGCCGTGCCTGAACAGATCACCTTTGTATTGCACATGTATTCATTCGACAATCCAATCTGCTGATTGGCTGCATTTAGGTTGTAAAAATCAAGCCAATCATTGCTGGATTGTAGAACTGGAACTCAGGCAAGCAGGCATTGCTGAATGGATTTCGGTCAAACTTATGCCCCATACCTGGAATGAGCACATTCACCTCGTATTAAATGGGTTGCATGCATTTGTATTGTAGTAAACTTTTCTTGAGAAATTTTTGACTTATTTTATCTTCTAGGATTCATCACAGGGAAACTCAATATTTCAGATTAATATGATTCGTTACATAAAAGAAAAATATCCTGATTTACAAGTCATTGGAGGTAATGGTATGTACCTTTTTAAGCTTTCCCCTTTGAGCCTTCAAACAAATACCGTTGCTATTGATGTTTGTGATTTGATGATTTGCATATCTTGACGACAACATTTTCCAAACAATGAAGCCAGTGTACTGTCTAAAAAGTTTCAGTGCTAGAAATTTTCACGATCTCGGAATTTTGCACCACCTTGTCTCGTAAAAAATGTGACACTTGTGAAAATAAAGCGTTCTACAGTATATTGTGAATTGTTTGATTTCACTGCAAAACATATGTTGGTGACTTCAGGATTGTGTACGACATTTTGTAAGTCACTGAGGCCCAAGAGAATTTTTTACTGAATTGTGAAATTAAAGCAGTTCACAATTCTTGTGCTTGTTAGCAGTCGCAGTCTGAAAACGGGGACTTTTGACCTCTGTGTGTCCGTGCGAGCAATATCTGTCAATACTTGTTTGACGATCGGATACACATGTCAATCATTTTAATGTTAAACAATCATCATCATCATATTCCTGACGTGTTTATGTTCCAGCTATATTAATATAAACAAAACTATATATCTTAAATTCAATAACTAACGGGGACTGTGCCATGCATTATTATGAGATGAGGGCAATTTGTCAGCATTTCTTTTTAATGGTCATTTTCTTAAGGGAATCATTTCTTCTGTAATGAGGATACTATAAACACTTGCTACAGTTCTATGTTATTGTTAATACAAGTTTATTACACTGATTAGTGAAGGTGAAGTCCAATTACTATGATTGTCAAAAGCCATTTTATACCAATTGGGACTGAAGTATAGGTCACTGTATTCATTTATATTTTAATGATAAGCTGAAGGTAGATTAATCATGTTTATCTCATAGTGCCCAGATAATACTATAATTAATTATTGCTTTGAAGGTTAATTGATTAGTTAATATTTTTATACCCACTCTCCAAAAAAAACAAATCACTCGCAGAAACTGCTGTTGTTGTCATGACCACAAGCCTCATTTTTCTGTTTCTTGCTTTGATTTTTTTTAGTCATGTGGTGTATTCACCATTATTACCATACACCATAATAAACCTGTAATTAGCTAATAATAAATTGTCTACTGTAAAATACTTTTAAAATAATTTTCGCTATTTTCGCTGAAGGAATGATTCAGTGAAAATAAAATCCAGTGAATATACCTTTTTTTCCTATAGTTTACATTCAACTCATCAAAAATCAGTGAAAAATGCAATACCAAACACCTAAAGTCTTTTCAGTGAAAATTAATTCCAGCTAAAATAAATATATTTTACAGTATTTGATGCAAAATTACCTTATTAACTTTTTCTCCACCAGTTCCCTTTTTTCATCAGAGATTAATAAAATTTTCCCATTTATAGTCTGCAATTTCCTTGAAATTGACTCAAATTTTGTCAGTTGCCTCCAAAATTAGGGTTCATTTATAGAAATATTGAAGAATGCAAGAAAGATTTAGGACGAGAAAATTATAGCGAGTTTAGTTTCAAAAACCAAATGCATTTCACCACATGTACTATGTTCTGTGAAATTTACATCTCCATTCACTTTCCCTGCCCACTTAAACAAGGAATTATCAAAAACACTTTGTTTTTAGTTGTCACAGCAGCTCAAGCCAAGAATTTAATAGATGCTGGAGTTGATGCGCTGAGAGTCGGGATGGGTAGCGGTTCAATATGCATAACTCAAGAAGGTGAGTAGACACGTACATTGCTGTGTAGTAGTTTAAAAAAAAAAAAAGATTGAGAACCATAAACGTTTGATAAATGAACTATTGGTTTATTTATAACTGCCTGGGGATGAGAGAGGCATTGCACACTGCTTGCCATGGTGATGGTTGTGTATTCATGTTCTGTAGGATGTAGCCATCAAATTACCCCTACTTTTGTACCAGAGTTGAATTGTTAATTGTTGAATCCAGACTTCTATGTTATGTGAACCAAGTATTACATGAATGTACATGTACTACAGTGCTGGTGATTACCAGTATGTCATTTAGGTTTTTTAAAATGGTGGATTTTTGAAATTGTGTCTGTTGTCATTATTTCACCTTCTTTATTTTTGCTTGTTCCAACACTTGTTCTCAACTGGCTTAGTTAGTGCCCATGCTTGACTTAGCACCCACTTTCCACTTTTATAGATTCTATTTTTCAGAACCCATCTCTTTCGAAGTTCCCCGTATTTGACTGCCAAATCATTAAATTGTTGTATTTTTTCTGATTAATGAAATTATAGTGTGTAATTATGAATGTTAAGGTTCTCTATGGTACCAAATATGTTTATAAAGACTGGCTAACTACTAAGTCTATCTACTAAATGGCTTGTCATTGATCATGTTGACATCATTTTAAGAGTTTTTAGGATCAGTCTTGATGAGTGGCAAACTAAAATGAAAACAAGACACTGCAATACACTCAACTAACACAACACGCGTGGTTTGCATAGCTCTTTCAGCTTCAACTAAAAAGACTTTGACAAAATATAGAAACGGGGATTATACCAGTACATGTAAGTTTTGATCTTCTAAATTTGGACCATGCAGATAAAAAAAAATACAAATTTTCTTGTGAAATGCTTTGGTCAAAGTTCAATGTTTAATACATCCCGGTTAAAGTGTCTTGTCTTTGTTTGGTTTTGCATGATTACGGTATAAGGTGTGGTATTTGTGTTATAGTTTATTTATTTTTAGGTGTTTTATTTTATTTTCCATTAAATCGCTTCAAGATATGGTTGTGTGTGCAGGATGTTGGTTTTAAAGGGAAAAGTTAAGGTTTGGGTTTGTTTTGGTTGGGTTGATGTTGATATTAAACAATAAGAATTTTAAAATTCCAAATCCTCTTACCTTGCCAGAAATTGAACAGTCTGTGTTTCCCGTAATTTTGATAATATGTAACTTGAAGCATTCAGCCTTTTGTTTTTGTATGGTCTTGTACAAGGTGTTTAATTGTAGAACACTGCATTGTGCATGATAGTCGCAGTTTTTATTCCATTTTTTTCCCCTATATGCTATACCGCAAGTACAAAAATGAAAATCAGATATTCATTTTTTGACAGTAATGGCTGTTGGGAGACCACAGGGTACATCTGTATACAAAGTAGCTGAGTACGCCAGGAGGTTTGGTGTACCAGTTATTGCTGATGGTGGTATAGGAACAGTTGGACACATCACAAAGGCCCTTGCTCTCGGAGCATCAACAGGTATGTAAACTTGGTGATCAGTATTATACAAGTGGTGGGTTGTTGACTCCCGTGTGCGAAAGATCCAATGGTAGTTTTTGTAGAGCATGCGTGTCTGTGCCTTCATGCACCTTCGTGCACATGTTCCACTGATGTCTCAAGAACCATTATCAGATATTAATGAAACAGTGTACATAGATGCTCTGGGACAATGCTCAGACCTGATTAGTTTTTGGTTGAAATCTTTGCATATTAATTACCTAATTTGCATATTAATTACCTAATTTGCATATTAATTAAGCGATTTTAAACTTTCATTCTTTTCTCAAGTACCATTCATCAGATTTTAAAGACACATAGTACATAAATGCTTTTAGATAATGCGCAAACTTGGATCAGTTTTTGATTGAAATCGCGTTACCTCAATAATGTGCTGGAAATTGTTAAAAGTAGAAAACATCACTAAACCTCGTCGGTAGCATCAAAACACTAATCGTTTGAAATCCTTCTCGTTGGCATATCCGGTTATCTCGCACTAAAGTAAGACTGCAGGCAGGAAATGATATCTTAATAATAAAGGTTATCACAAGAATACCTCAATTCAACATGACATCAACCTCAGATTTGTGCTTGCTGAAGTAATCTCACAATACCCATCACACTTTAATAACATCCTGCTTAACATACAAAACCCACCTGCATCCAGACGCATTTATTCCATTATGCGTGCTCAGATTTGTCTCGTCATCATGTGTGGTGTAATTTTCGCTAATAACGACTATTGCAGTGGACTATTAAAATGTCTCATACCTACATCTACAGCAAAGTCGTGAGGAAATAACGCTTTGACAAAATAGATAAAAGCCTTGTCGCTTACAGTGACATCATTGGTTTAGTAGAGCACAACTGATTTAAAATTTGTCTTGATGTATTCTCTCCTGTAAATTGTATTTATTCCTTAGCTCCACAACTGCTTAAATCTACGTACTGCCCTCTATGGTGTTTTTTTATTGTTCATTTGTTTTTAAAACAAATTTGTTACTTCTTTTCTTGATAGTCATGATGGGTTCTCTGCTAGCCGGTACATCAGAGGCACCGGGAGAGTACTACTTCTCAGACGGTGTGAGATTGAAAAAATACCGTGGCATGGGATCATTAGATGCAATGGAACATAAATCAAGTCAGAATAGATACTTCAGGTGAGGCCAATGTCAATTGCTTCTTTTCTTTATTTTACCATCTACTGTCCAATGTGTATGTGTATATATATTACACAACTATTATTATTAATTAATACACAACTACATGAATATTGAAACGCGACAGCACTGTTTCGTAAGGTACAAGTACCTCACTCATCAGGAGCTATATGTTGAATTCACTGCACCAACGAGCATACATATACTTCACAAATTAACATATTAATTAAAAATAAAAAACATACAGGTTTAAGTGTTACTGTTACATAATAAGGCTTTTGATCTGTGTCGGCATGATGATACAAGTTCATTTCTTTTGTTTCGTGTGGAGTGGTGAGGTCTAAAAATTATTATAAATTTTTCCTTCAAACATAGAATTCATCGTTTGCTGGAGCTACTTGTACTGGCTACCACGAGCAAGAATTTTCCATGTTATTCTGTGCTCAATATTTTTTTCTTTGAGTGACCAAACATGTTTACTTAGTTCTGTCGCATTTCTAGAAGCCTGATTACGAAATGAGGCAGTGTGGTTTCTGTACCTTGTTTTGAATTCATTTCCAGTGAGACCGACGTACGTTTCGCTAGTTTGTTTGTCTAAGCGCGTAACTTCCGCTTGGTATATCACGCCGGACTGCAAACACTTCCCGTCCAGTGGACATGCCGTTTTTTTCTGACAATTGCATAGTTTGTTGACTTTCGTTTTATCAGTTGTGGTGCTCTTATCAGTCGCGAGTTGCCGTTTGTTGACTCCCATGTGCGAAGCACAAAATGGGAGTCTTTGCAGTTAGTGTGTCTGTATGTATGTATGTGTGTGTGTGTGTGTATGTGTGTATGTGTGTATGTGTGTGTGTGTGTATGTGTGTGTGTGTGTGTCCGACTGTTCCACTGCTATCTCAAGAACCATACA